CTAACCATCTCATCCTTTTCCGTCCCCGTCTTCTTTGACCTTCAATCTTTCCCAGCATCAGGGTCTTCTCCAGTGAGTGCTCCCTTCTCATTTGGTGGCCAAAGTATTTGAGCTTTAGTTTCATTATCTGGCCTTCCAGGGAACAGTCAGGGTTGATTTCTTTTAGGATGGACTGATTTGATCTCCTTGCAGTCCAAGGGACTCTCAAGAGTCTTCTCCAGCACCATAGTTCAAAAGAATCTATTCTTCGGCGCTCGGCCTTCCTTATAGTCCAACTCTCACAGCCATACATGACTACTGGGAATACCATTGCTTTGACCATGCGGACTTTTGTTGGCAGGGTGATGTCTCTACTTTTTATCATGCTGTTTAGGTTCGCCATCACTTTCCTCCCAAGGAAATCTTTTAATTTCATGGCTGCTGTCACAGTCTATGGTGATCTGGGATCCCAGGAATGTGAAGTCTGTCACTACTTCCACGACTTCCCCTTCTATTTGCCAAGGAGTGATGGGGCCGGATGCCATGATCTTAGTTTTTTTGATGTTGAGCTTCAAGCCCACTTTTGCGCTCTCCTCTTTTACCCTGAGCAAGAGGCTCTTGAGATCCTCTTCACTTTCTGCCATTAGAGTGGTATCGTCTGCATATCTGAGGTTGTTGATCTTTTCCCCAGCAATCTTAATTCCCGCTTGTGATTCATCCAGGCCAGCATTTCGCATGATGTACTCTGCATATATATTAAATAAGCAAGGCGACAATATACATCCTTGTCGTACTCCTTTTCCTATGCTAAACCAATCAGTTGTTCCATATCCGGTTCTAACTGTCGCTTCTTGGCCCTTATACAGGTTTCTCAAGAGACATGTGAGGTGGTCTGGTACTCCCATCTCTTTAAGGACCTGCCATAGTTTGTTGTGATCCACACAGTCAAAAGCTTTAGCATAGTCAATGAAGCAGAAGTAGATATTTTTCTGGTACTCTCTTGCTTTCTCCATAATCCAGCGAATGTTGGCAATTTGATCTCTAGTTCCTCTACCTCTTCGAAACCCAGCTTGTACTTCTGGTAGTTCTCTATCCACGTACTGTTGAAGCCTAGCTTGTAGGATCTTGAGCATGACCTTGCTAGCGTGTGATATGAGTGCAATTGTGCGATAGTTTGAACATTCCTTGGCGTTGCCCTTCTTTGGGATTGGAATGTATACTGATCTTTTCCAATCCTGTGGCCACTGTTGCGTTTTCCAAATTTGCTGGCAAATGGAGTGCAGCACTTTAACAGCATCATCTTCTAAGACTTTGAATAGCTCAGCTGGAATACCATCACCTCCACTAGCTTTGTTGTTAGCAATGCTTTCTAAGGCCCATTTAACTTCACATTCCAGGATGTCTGGCTCGAGGTCAGTGATTATACCGTCGTGGTTGTCAAGGACATCGAGGTCTTTCTTGTATAGTTCTTCTGTGTATTCTTGCCATCTTTTCCTAATCTCTTCTGCTTCTGTTAGGTCCCTACCGTTTTTGTCCTTTATCATGGCCAGCTTTGCATGGAACGCTCCCTTGATTTCTCCAACTTTCTTGAAGAGATCTCTAGTCCTTCCCATTCTATTGTTTTCTTCTATTACTTTGCACTGTTCATTCAGGAAGGCCTCCTTATCTCTCCTTGCTGTTCTCTGGAAATCTGCGTTCAGTTGGGTAAATCTTTCCTTTTCGCCTTTGCCTTTCGCTTTCCTTCTCTAGTGAGTGCTCCCTTCTCATTTGGTGGCCAAAGTATTTGAGCTTCATTTTCATTATCTGGCCTTCCAGGGAACAGTCAGGGTTGATTTCTTTTAGGATTGACTGATTTGATCTTTTTGCAGTCCAAGGGACTCTCAAGAGTCTTCTCCAGCACCATAGTTCAAAAGAATCTATTCTTCGGCGCTCGGCCTTCCTTATAGTCCAACTCTCGCAGCCATACATGACTACTGGGAATACCATTGCTCTGACCATGCGGACTTTTGTTGGCAGGGTGATGTCTCTACTTTTCAGGTGGCAATCGAGGCAGCCATTTCTCAGCTCAAATCAGAGGGGGGCTTTCTTGCTAATCGTGTGGTATAACTCATACAGATTCCATTTGTGTGCAGACACGGCTAAAGAAGCCCTGAGCAAGACCAAGGTTGCCGAACAACTGGTCCATCAGCTGCGGCAGGTGAACCATCACGAGAAGGTCGAGATCATTCTGGAAGTTCTCCAGACCTTAGCAGAGAATGGTAAGGGCCTCAGTCACTAGACTGGGTGGCCAAAGACAACTTCAGCCTTTGCTGGTTGAAGAAAAAAAGGGGAAATACATAAAAATCTATTCCCTAAATACACTCTTCAAGCACACTGTTTTAGAACTTCATCACTTGAGGAAGGAGGACTACTGTTGCGTCTTTTGTGACATCACTGCTCATAGGATTGTCCCAACTAGATTAAACCCCAAGAAACAGCCCTGGACTGTGTAGCACAGGCTGGCCTGATCTTGTCCGATCTCAGAAGCTAAGAAGTGTTGGCTCTGGTTAGTAAGTCCAGGGTCGCTACACAGACGGAGATCACCAAGGAAGTCCAGGGTCGCTACGCAGAGATTGGCAATGGCAAACCACCTCTGTTTGTCCACCTTGACCTGGATAGCCCTGGATAGGCTAGTCTTGTCAGATCTTGGAAGCTAAGCAGCGCCAGCCCTGGTCAACACTTGGATGGGAGATGAAGGAATACCAAGGTCGTGATACGGAAGCAGGCAATGGCAAATCAACTCTGTTGAGTCTCTTGCCTTGAAAACCCTGCAGGGTCACCATGAATTGACTGTAACTTTACAGCACTTTCTACCACCAGCAGCCTGTTTACAAAACCTATTTCCACAGCATTTTTATTATGAGCCAGCAAACGAACCTCAGAGATTTTCCTTCTGGAAACTTGTAGATTGGGTCAAAGCGATGTGTATACTAAGCTGAGCATTGATACAAAACAACCACCAGAGAGAGAGAGAGAGAGAGCCGTACAGAGAGAAAAAAAAAAAACACAAGAGAGAGAGAGAGAGAGAGAGAGAGAGAGAGAGAGAGAGAGAGAGAGATGGGCACAAACTGGCTCACAAACCGAAGTTTGTGATGAATTTTCGGCGGTTTGTGGTTTGCGAAGTGAAGATCATGGTAGGTCAACTGGCACAAACTTTCCATGAACTGTCAAGCTGTTCGTGGAGGTTCATGCTGGTTTGTGAACAGATATATTTCCAGACAGACTGTCTCTGGTCAATCTAAATGTTTACCAAACTTCAAAGCAACAACTTGGAGGGCACATAGAGAGGCGCGTCCAGGGGAGGTACCCTGTGACTTTGATGCCTCTAGCATTCCAGAGCTTTGGTGCCATGACTGAGCATGCCCTCTCTCAAGTTGCCACCTGCCTAATCTCAGAAGGCAAGAGCACCCCCAAATGACCATAGTGGTGGGGCAGGTTCATAAATCAGTGTTTTGCTGGTGGCAGCCAAAGTCCCCACAAGTCCCCACAAGTCCCCACAAGTCCAGGGCGTTTCTCAGCTCTTTTCCCAACACCTGACTAAGGGATCTCCCTAGGGTTGCCACTCTCCAGGTGGCAGCTGGAGATCTCCTGGAATTATAACTGATCTCCAGGTTGCAGAGCTCAGTTCCCCTGGAGAAAATGGCTGCTTTGGAAGGTGTACTCTATAGCATTTGTATCCCATTGAGGTCCCTCCCCTCCCCAAACTCAACCTCCCCCCGGCTCGACCCCCAGAATCTGCAGGAATTTCTCAACCCAGAGCTTGCAGTCCTAGATCTTCCCCATAGATCAGCCCAGCCTACTCCCATTTGGTCAAGTAACGAATAAATATACACTGCAAGAAACTTTTGTAAACGAATGTGTTCCGTTTATAATTAACATTCTATAAAGTGCATTGTGTATTCTTAGAACATCCTAATCAGGTTATATATATTCAGTACAACAACAAACAGTTCATACAACATAACGACTGCCAGTCAATTTTGCATCAGTATTTTAAAAGTCAAACCCCAACGGGAGTTTCCAGAATTACAAGCCCGCTTCTACTTGCATGAAGTCTTCCAGAAGGGGGGAAGCTTTCATTTATAGTTGTGTGGATGACCTTGTTCTACGGTCAACACTATGCAGCCTTGAGAATGACAGGAGCGCTCGGTCCATGAATTTTAGCTGCACAACGTGTCTTTTGTAGGACCGGCAATAAGCATCAATACAACTATAAATGAAAGCTTTACCCCTTCTGGAAGACTCCATGCAAGTAGAAGCGGGCTTGTAATTCTGGAAACTCCCGTTGGGGTTTGACTTTTAAAATATTGATGCAAAATTGACTGATAGTTGTTATATTGCATGAACTGTATGTTACTGTAATATTGAATGTACTGAATATATATACCCAGGGCTTTTTTGTAGAAAAAGACCAGCAGGAACTCGTTAGCATAATAGGCCACACCCAACAGCAGAAACTTATTAGCATATTAGGCCACACCCCTGAGAGCACAGCTCATTAGCTTATTAGGCCGTACCCCCATGTTACCAGAAGTATGAACATCCAGCCACACCGACCTTTTTCTTCTTATTCTGTTTACCTTCTTTGTTGTCAAAACCCAGGGCTTTTTTTGTAGCAGGAACCTCTTTGCATGTTAGGCCACACACCCCTAATGTAACCAATCCTAATGAGTTCCTGCTGTTGGGTGTGGCCTATTATGCTAATGAGTTCCTGCTGGGCGTGGCCAACTCGGGAGCCAACCGGAACTCCGTTTCTGTGCGTTCCTGTTTAAAAATAGCCCTGTATATACCTGATTAGGATGTTATAAGACTACACAATGCCCTTTATAGAATGTTAATTATAAACAGAACACATTGATTTACAAAAGTTTCTTGCGGTGTATATTTATTCATTACTTGACTTTCCTGACACTGTAGCTCGGGTTGCTACAGCTGCTCTCATTTGGTAGCAACGGTACTGGCGTGGGAATTTCCCATGTGATCAGCCCCTCCAATGAGATCTCCTCCTTTCACTTGTTACCGGAATGGAGTCGTATGTAGGTCATGAGCAGTGTTCCCTCTAAGTTGAGTTAGTGTGAACTAGCTCACAGTTTTTTAGCCTCTGGCTCACACATTTTTGTCTTAGCTCAGGAGGATGGCTCCAGAGCAAACTAATTTATGCAGTGGCCAAATCGCTCGCTCACAACTTTAATGCCAGTAGCTCACAAAGTAGAATTTCTGCTCACAAGACTCCGCAGCTTAGAGGGAACATTGATCATGAGGAAGAGCTACTTTCCTGCTTAGGATGGACACGGGCCCATCCAGGAGCTTTCAGCGTGTCTGTCTCATGACCTCCACAGATGCCCTCAAACTGCAGTTGGCCGAAGCCGGCATCCAGGATGCTGTGAGCGAGATCCTCTCGAGGCTCCAGGACAGCTCCAAGCCAGAAGACATGTGCAGCCTGAAAGCTGCGTCGGATCTCATCGTGTCCTTGCTACTCGGAGGTAAGAATAAAGAGAGCCAGTGGGGAATTCGGATGCTCCCAACGAGACAAGGTGCCATTTTGGGAGGGGGGAATTACCATACAATCGTACCACAATTGCAATACCCACATTTGTCTCTGAGATGAAGAGTCGCCTCGGGCATTTAATGGTACTGGGCCTCTTTGGGCCAGAGGTCCCAGGAGGAAGACTGAGACTGCGGTCACACACGCTAAATCATCCACTTTCAATCCACTTTCAATCCCCTTTCCAACTGGATTTTGCCAGTTCACACAGACAAATCCAGTTGGAAAGTCTACTGAAAGTAGAGTCAAAGTGGATTGTTTGGGGGGGGGGGGTGACCGCAGCCTGAGGAAGAGTCTTGGTCCAATCAGCCCAAAGTCTGGTTGCTGCCTATCGGAGAAGATAAACTTGGTGTACCAATCTCAGGCTAAGATGTGAGACAAATTCTTTCAGTGTTCAGTTCCCCTGGAGAAAATGGCTGCTAGGGAGGGTGGACTCTATGGCACCATACCCCATTGAGGTCCCGCCCCTCCTCAAACTCAACACCCCCAGGATCACGGGATTCCTCAGCCCAGAGCTTGCAATCCTAGATCTTCCCCATAGATCAACCCAGCCTGCTCTCATTTGGTAGCAACAGTACTGGCATGGGAATTTCCCATGTGATCAGCCCCTCCAATGAGATCTACTCCTTTCACTTGTTACCGGAATGGTGTAGTATGTAGGTCATATCCAGGCAAGGTGAGGTCCCTCTTCTACCCAAACCCCACCCTAACCAGGCTCCACCCCTCAAATCTCCAGGAATTTTCCAGCCCAGAGCTGGCAACCCTGCAGGTGAAAGCCCATTGTTCTGAAACCAGAGAGTGTGTATTAGAGATCTGTCAAGGGGGTTATGTAATACAGTTAAAGGAAGGGGGCATGGAGACTCACACCACCAACCTTAAAGCAGCATAAGAACATAAGAGAAGCCATGTTGGATCAGGCCAATGGCCTATCTAGGGTTGCCAAGTGTAAATTCCTCCGGAGTGGAGGACTCCCGTTGGGCGTCTGGAGCGCGAGCACGCACGCCGTACGCACGTCACCCGGAAGTGATATGACGACGCCGGGCACGCTGGGGGCGGGGCCACGACCATCTGAGGGAAAACCATAGAGATTTCCCTTGGATGATCGTGGCCCCGCCCCCAGCATGCCCGGCGTGGTCGCATCACTTCCAGGTGACGCACACGTCAGGGTGGGGTTCCCCCGGGGCCCGATCTGCCAGCGGCAGGGAACGGGCCTCTGGGGCGGGCATTTCCCATCCCCCCGGGGGGACTTGGCAAGCCTAGGCCCATCGAGTCCAGCACTCTGTGTCACACAGTGGCCAAAACCCAGGTGCCATCAGGAGGTCCACCAGTGGGGCCAGAACTCCAGAAGCCCTCCCACTGTTGCCCCCCCCCAGCACCAAGAATACAGAATCCAGGGCTTTTTTTGTAGCAGGAACTCCTTTGCATGTTAGGCCACACACGCCTAATGTAGCCAATCCTAATGAGTTTCTGCTGTTGGGTGTGGCCTATTATGCTAATGAGTTCATGCTGGGCGTGGCCAACTCGGAAGCCAGCCGGAACTCCGTTTGTTGTCAAAACCCAGGGCTTTTTTTGTAGCAGGAACTCCTTTGCATGTTAGGCCACACACCCCTAATGTAGCCAATCCTAATGAGTTTCTGCTGTTGGGTGTGGCCTATTATGCTAATGAGTTCATGCTGGGCGTGGCCAACTCGGAAGCCAGCTGGAACTCCGTTCCTGTGCGTTCCTGCCCAAAAATAGCCCTGCTTGTGGCTAATGGCCACTGATGGACCTCTGCTCCATATACCCAGTCCCCTTTATGTATACCCATAATTCCACCACAACACCCTCTCTGTTTCATAGCATCCAGCATCCAACACTTCCAGGCGTCAAAATTAATTCTTCGTACAGCAAGGCCAGAGGCAGCGTGGCACCGTGGTCAGAGTATCTGGCTAGGACCCAGGACAACTGAGTCTGAATTCCCCCTCTACCACGGATGCTCACCAGGTGACCTTGGGCCCCTCCAACTCACCCAGCCTAACTGACTTCACAGGGCTTGTTGTTGCGAGGACACAGTGGAGAAAAAGGGAACGATGTGATCTGTCGCTTTGGCACAGGGAGAAGAGCGGGTTATCAATTTTTAAAAATAAAAATAAAAATTAACAAGCATATTTAAAACCGCAAAATGTCTCACCTTCCCTTGCCCCACTGGTTGGAACCCATCCTGGCAAGAAGGATCGACCTGCGCTCCAGGGAGGGAGGCTCATCAGATAATTATTGAGCTAGGCTTGTCAACCTCCAGGTTGTGGCTGGAGAGCTGCTATTGCAATTTATCTCCAACGAACAGAGATCAGTTCCCCTGGAGAAAATGGCTTCTTTGGAGGGTGGACTCTATGGCACTGTACCCTGTTCAGGTCCTGCCTCTCCCCAAAGTCTCCACCCCCCCAAATCTCCAGGAATTACCCAGCCTAGAGTCGGCAACCCTATATCAAGTTGCACCCAAGTCTACAGTCTCTTCATAACTGTTATGTATGGAACAGAATGGATGAATGGATGAGCTTGAGTCTAAGCAAGGTATTGTAAACCGACCCATCAGAACAAGGGAAATTCTGGAGGGAAGCAAAGTGATTGGTCTTTATGTACAGTTTCTGATTGGATCTCATCTGACATGTGGGCGTGGCTTGTTTAAAAAGGAGCCTGTTGCTCCGTCTCGTTCTGGTTCTTCTGACTTTGTGTTCAGTAAAGCTGTTATCACCAGTGTTCCCTCTAAGCTGAGTCAGTGTGAGCTAGCTCACAGTTTTTTTAGCCTCCGGCTCACACAATTTTGACTCAGCTCAGGAAGGAGGGCTCCAGAGCGAACTAATGTATACAGCAGCCAAATCGCTCACTCACAACTTTAATGCCAGTTGCTCACAAAGTAGAATTTTTGCTCACAAGACTCCACGGCTTAGAGGGAACATTGGTTATCAGTGTTCATCTGCTGCCTCGAGTCTCGTATCTAACAATAACAGCAAGAGATAAGGCTGTGATCATTTCCCTGCTGGAATAGAGGACTGCCAGTAAAAATGATGCAGGATTCCACTGTCGCGGTACTACCCGTCTGTCTCCATTTGTCGTGCTGCAGATGAATCCATGCAGCAGCTGTTTGCGGAGGGGCGTGGCGTGATCTACCAGAGCGTGGGCACGTGGCTGGCCTCCAAGCACACCCAGTTACAGCTGACGGGGGCTCTAGCTATTGCGAACTTTGCCAGGAACGGTAAGAATGCCCACTCGTTTGTCTATTCCAATGGCCACACGGTGCACTGAAGTCAAGGGAGGTCTAAGGTCCAGTGCTGATACGGCCTCAGCTTGTGAGTTTTGCGCACTGTAGTAAAGCGTAAGAAGAAATTCTCGCTTGTGTGCATTGTTCTGCCATAGCTGGAACCTTCAGTGCAAACTGGGATCTGGGTACAGACGGTACGGTTAACGGAGTATTCTGTGTGTTACGAAGAAGGATGTGCAAACCAGGCTTACGACACTACGTGGTTTCCATTGGGTAGCAGGGCTTTTTTTGTAGAAAAAGCCCAGCAGGAACTCATTAGCATAATTGGCCACACCCAACAAGCAGAAACGTATTAGCACAGGTCATTAGCATATGAGGCCACACCCCTGTGTTACCAGAAGTGTGCTCATCCAGCCACACCCACCTTTTGCTTCTTTTTCTGTTTACCTTGTTGTCAAAACCCAGGGCTATTTTTGTAGCAGGAACTCCTTTGCATGTTAGACCACACACCCATAATGTAGCCAATCCTAATGAGTTTCTGCTGTTGGGTGTGGCCTATTATGTTAATGAGTCCCTGCTGGGCGTGGCCAACTCAGGAACCAGCCGGAACTCCGTTCCTGTGCGTTCCTGCCCAAAAATAGCCCTGGGTATTGGAATAGAAGCTTTGGCTATAGATGTAAATTTTCCAGAAATGTTGAAGCTATGAGGCGAAAAACACAATTTATGTCGTTAAAGCAGCAAAATGGGTTTAGGTGTGATAGGAAAAAGAGTATGGCGTGTACTTCAGGTTTTCGCAAAGTTTCCATTCCACTCGCAATGGGGGAAAAAATGTTTCACGTATAACTTAGTTATATCATATAAAAATGTATTAATTGGCATATCTGTGGAATCTGGAAATTCATTGGAATGAGAGAAAGCCCTGCGGGCTGCTGTGCCAAATTGTGTCTTAGCACTTTTCACTCCTTCCAAAAGAAAAGTTTTCCGGTGCTCCCCCAGATTGAATGTAATGAATTTATACCTGACTAGGATGAAATAATGATACACTATGCACTTTCCTAAATGATTACCATAAATAGAACACATTAGTTTGTTAAAAGGTTTTTGCAGTGTGTATTTATTTGTTACTAGACTCTCCTAATACTGCAGCTTGGGTTGCTTCAGCCTCCAGGTGGGGCCTGGGGATCCCCCAGAATTACAGTTCATCACCAGACAACAAAGATCGGGTCCCCTGGAAAAAATGGCTGCCTTGCAGGGTGGACTCTATGGCATTGTGCCCCATTAAGGTCCCGGTCCTCCCCAGGCTCCACCCCCAAATCTCCAGGAGTTCCCCAGGCTGGAGCTGGCAACCCTATCTTCCACCCCCTACCAGTGGCCAGGAAGGACCTGGAAATCCTATCACCAACCTTCTTGAGCCTGTGGACACTTTGGGAAATTTCAGTGCAGGTAGCAGGCACTACAACAAAATGGCTACCGGGAGCAATCACAAAACGGTTCGGACAGGGGGGCTCCCCACGGTTTTTGAGGCCGCAGGCGCCTTTAGGCACAGGCGGGTCAGCAGGCACAGCTCCAAAACTGCTGCTGCCGAAGGCAGAGCCAGCCACAACATTTCCGGGAGCGAGGTCATGCTTAGCTTTGATAGTAACACTTCAACCTCTCCGGCAGAAGCTCCGCTTAACAGGATGCTTTTTTAAATGAACGTACCTTTTAAAAATATTTCCGTGCTTACACACAGCTTATCTTCAGCCGCACAGTGAAAATCCTTGTGCCGTGGCGGCGGCGGCTGCTGCTGCAGCAGCAATTTTTTAAAAAAAAAAAAAAAATCAGCTCAGCCAATCAGATCTCTAATAGTCAATAAGAAGTCCTGCTGGGCAAAAGCCCCCCCCTGGCCTCACACACTTTCTAAAAACACTTGGCGAGCACCAGAAAAAGTGTCGGCAGCCCACAAGCACTACGTTGGGGGACCCCCTCGGTTAGGAAGTTTCAAACTTCACCTCCTATGATTCGGGTTCGGCAGGTCTTACCCATCTGCCTGCAGGGGGATCCTGGCTTGGTCCCGAGGTCTTTTGTCATGCACGCCATGACGACATCACCTGAAAGCGACGTCATTGTGCCGGGCATGTTGTACAGGGGATGCTCTAGCATTTGACTAAAAACTCTATGGTCACCATAGAGTTTTTAGCCAAATGCTAGAGCATTCCCCATGCAACGTACCCGGCATGATGACGTCGCCTCCAGATGATTGTGCCAGGCATGGTGGGGCTCTTCAGGGGCAGGGCTCCCCCACCGTCCAGCTGGCCAGTGATGGATCAGGGTCCCCGAAATTGGCGGAAACCCTGCAACCATTGGAGAGCTGGCAACCCCATGTTGGAGGCAGTTGTTTCTGAATGGGTGCTCCCTGCAGACCCAAAGGTGATCCTCTTCTGAAGCATACCCTTCTTGAAAGAGGTGCAAGAAAGCCAGGACTGGCTGAATGCTTTGGGCATGAAGTAAATGTTTACCCCAAAACACATTGGTGGGCACCTGACATCCACTGGCACTGCACTGGAAATCACTGACTTATGTGATCTTGCGCTCCCTTCAGTATCTCAAAAAAGGTGTTGGTTTTGGGAAACGTACAAACTTATTTAATCAAATACAAATTAGTCTCTTAAAATGCTGGCAATTCATCTATAAGAAATTCTTTCATCTACAGACCACTGTCACCTCATGATGCATGAGTGCCCAAAACACAAAACGAGTTTCCCCTTTTGCTGTAAAAACTTTGCAATTAGTCAGATGTTTTGGCATAAAGTCAGAGTCCCTCTGGAAGATCTGGAAAGACCTCCCGCCCTGAAAGAGAACTTGGCTGTCTGCTCATTGCTTTAGAGGTATTGCCACCGAAACCTGAGGGTGGTTTTCTCAGCATCCAGCACCGTCGACTCTAATCCTTGGACTCTTTTCTCCCCCTCTTGATTTTACAAGACAGCAACTGCGTTCGGATGGTGCAGCTCGGAGTGGTCCATCAGCTGCTGGATCTTTTAGAGCAACACGTGGAAAGCGGCGACGTCTCGGTTCAACATGCTGCACTCAGCGCACTTCGAAACCTTGCCATACCAGGTACGGCAAAAGCCACACGGAAAATTATTTAAGTGGAAAGCGGGGGAAAATAAACTAACACCACATAAATGTGTTTGATGACCTAGAAAGGAGAGAGAGCTAAGGCCCGAAGAGGGCAAATGGAGGGAAGTGAGAAGAAATGGTGGAAATGAAGGTTGCCAACCACCAGTTGTGTAGAAACAACAGAGAGATCACGGGAAGGATGCAAACAATGATGAAAATATATTTAGACTGCTGTTTTGCAGTTAGCTGCGGTGGCTCAAGTGGTTAAGACGCTGAACTGCAGGCTGTGGAAGGTCAGCAGTTCGAGACCCGAGTGTGCCACATGACGGAGTGAGCTCCCGTCTCTAGTTCCAGCTCCTGCCAACCTAGCAGTTCGAAAGCAAGAAATTGCAAGTAGATCAATAGGTACTGCTTTGGTGGGAAGGTAACAACATTCCGTGCGCCTTGGTGTCTAGTCATGCCGGCCACATGACCACGGAAACGTCTTCGGAGAGCGCTGGCTCTTCGGCTTTGAAACAGAGATGAGCACCACAACCCTAGAGTCGGACTCGACTGGCTTTCAAGCAAGGGAACCTTTACCTTTACCTTTTTTGCAGTGAGTAGTATTTCTTCAACAAGTAATAAAGATGTACGCAGGCACACAACAGAATTTGCAGATACTCCCGTTTCACGTGACCACTTTTCCTAAGGGTGCTGCATAAGTAACATCAATTTACACGTCAACCATTCCAATCTGTAAATTAACACTCAACGTTCTTCCCACTCCAATGTTTCTCACGCAGCACACTTAGAAAAAGTGGTCATGTGAAACGGGAGTATCTGCAAATTCTGTTGTGTGCCTGCGTACACCTTTATTACGTGCTGAAGAAACACTACTCACTGCAAAACAGTCTAAACATATTTTCATAATACGTCGTCACGGGTTTTAACCTCCAGTTGGGGTCTGGAAATGTTCTAGAATGACAACGGAGCTCCAGGGTGTAGAGTAGGGTTCCCAGTCTCCAGGTGGGGGTGGGGGTCTCCCAGAATTCCAGTTGTTCTCCAGATGACAGAGATAGTTCCTCTGGAGAAAATGGCTGATTTGGAGAGTGGAATTCTATGGCCATTATACCCTGCTGAGCTCCCTTCCCCTCCCTAAGCCCCACCCATTCTACAATCTACCTTCAGGTCTCCAGGAATTTCCCAGGCCAGAGCTGGCAACCCTACTATAGATATCAGTTCCCCTGGAGAAAATGGCTGCTCTGGACGGTGGGCTTTATGACATTATGCTCTGCTGAGGTCCCTCCCCTCCCCAAACCCTGCTCTCCCCAGACTACACACCCCCAATTGCTAGGAATTTCCCAACCTGGAGTTGGCAACACAAAGAAATACAACTATTAAAGATAAAGGTAAAGGTCTCCCTTGCTCGAAAGCCAGTCGAGTCCGACTCTAGGGTTGCGGTGCTCATCTCTGTTTCAAAGCCGAAGAGCCAGCGCTGTCCGAAGACGTTTCCGTGGTTATGTGGCCGGCATGACTAAAGCTTATTACATTCAGAGCTGATAGTTATACATATCCAACTGATGGGTAAAACTTTTGACCAATAGACCATGCGCGTTTCGGCCCCTGCAGGCCTTCCTCAGTGGCCAATAGGAATGTCATAAGTTTTAAGAGTTGGATATTTGGACTATTTCTTTTAACCTTATGTATGTTTTATTTATGTGTAAAGGTAAAGGTCTCCCTTGCTCGAAAGCCAGTCGAGTCTGACTCTAGGGTTGCAGTGCTGATTTCTATTTCCAAGCCGAAGAGCCAGCGCTGTCCGAAGACGTTTCCGTGGTCATGTGGCCGGCATGACTAAACACGGAGGCGTACGGAATGCTGTGACCTTCCCACCGAAGTGGTCCCTATTTATCTACTTGCAATTTCTTGCTTTCGAACTGCTAGGTTGGCAGGAGCTGGAACTAGAGACGGGAGCTCACTCCGTCATGCGGCGCACTCGGGTCTCGAACTGCTGAACTACTGACCTTCCACAGCCTACAAACAGCACCTTTGCAGGCACTGGAAGCCTCTCTGAACATAATGTGAAACCACTGGTAAGGGCCAGACTTAACAGGATGAAGCAGCTATATTTGTTCACAGGCCTTGCTACTCTTTTGTGTGTGCGTGAGCGTGCGTGCCTGGAAGTCATGGCTGACTTCTGGTGACCCCTAGTGGGGATGGAAGGCAAGGGCGGCCAGAGAGACGGCTAGCTGCTTGCCTCTGCGTCAGAGCCCTCGTCTTCCTTGGAGGTTTTCCCATCCAAGTCCTTGCCACTTAGCTTCCAAAATCGGACTTTCCCGGGCTATTCAGGTCAGGCTAACAAATAAATGACTCTAAAAATACAAATATTTATTATGGTGTACACATGAATAAAGGAGCTGCGGTGGCTCAAGTGGTTAAGACGCTGAACTGCAGGCTGTGGGAGGTCAGTAGTTCAGCAGTTCGAGACCCGAGTGTGCCGCATGACGGAGTGAGCTCCCATCTCTTTAAGAGTTTTTGTTTTAGTGGCTACACGGTTGCACTAGGATTTGGGGAAACCAAGTTCGAATCCCTACTCTACCACGGAAGTTTGCTGGGTGACCGTGGGCCAGTCATTCTCTCTCTGCCTACTTTACCTCACAGGGCTGTTGTTACGAAGATAAAGGGGAGGGGATGATCTTGTAAACTGCGGTAGCTCCCCCCCCCACTCATTAGAAAGAGAAGTGGGGTGTAAATAAATATCTAGGTAAAGGCGAAGGTTTCCCTTGCTCGAAAGCCAGTCGGATCCGACTCTAGGGATGCGGTGCTCATCTCTGTATTACTCAGGTGGCCTATTGGCCACTGAGGAAGGCCTGCAGGGCCGAAACGCGTATGGTCTAATGGTCAAAAGTTTTACCCATCAATTGGATATGTATAACTATCAGCTCTGAATGTAATAAGCTTTAAGAGTTTTTGTTTTAGTGGCTACATGGTTGCACTAGGATTTGGGGGAACCAGGTTCGAATCCCCACTCTACCATGGAAGTTTGCTGGGTGACCGTGGGCCAGTCATTCTCTCTAAGCCTAATTTACATCACAGGGCTGTTGTTACAAAGATAAAGGGGGGGATGATCTTGTAAACTGTGGTAGCTCCCCCCCACTCATTAGAAAGAGAAGTGGGGTGTAAATAAATATCTAGGTAAAGGCGAAAGTTTCCCTTGCTCGAAAGCCAGTCGGATCCGACTCTAGGGATGCGGTGCTCATCTCTGTATTACTCAGGTGGGTAACCGTGTTGGACTGAAGCAACAGAACTAAGTTTGAGTCCAGTGGCGCCTTTAAGACCAACAAAGTTTTATTCTGGGTATAAGCTTTTGCGTGCACACGCACACTTCTTCATATATCTTAATAAAACTGAATAACTGAATAAAAATACCAGAATAAAACTTCGTCAGTCTTAAAGGTGCCACTGGACTCAAACTTTGTTCTGTATTACTCAGCACCGGATCAAAGAGAGGTTGGTGGGGTGAACTTTTCTGTCCGGACAGCTGGCAGGACACAAGGCAAGAAGCCTGTATTCTTCCATCACATTAAGAGGGCTCAGAAGACATGATGAAAACATCGGGAAGATGAAAAGAAGAGAAGCGGTTTGCTAAGCTGAGAATTCTGCAAGAAGATCTGCACCGCAAAATCCTTTTTTTGTTTCCCAGACGTCTTCGAAGCGATACCACCTAAGGCAATTTAGGCCTCAGGTTGAAAACCTGCGTTCCCCCATCGATTCCGGGGCGATCGTTTCAAAAAGGCAATAAGCAGACCAAAATGATGAAAGCCAACCAGCCTAGATACAGTCTTTTGGAGAAAAAAATACGGACAGACACAGGGGCCATTATGAATTGATTAAATCCTCAGCGACCTGCCCAGGGAACTCTCTTTGAAATCCCTACCATACTCAGGGGCCTACAGCTTGAACTTCCTGCTGCCGAGCCCAAGGAAATTACAAGCAAGCTAATTAAGTGGCGGCTTCCCAGCATGATCAAGATGCCAGCGCGGGAGGCCTGCCCGCTGGACTCGGCCTTGGCAAGAAAGAAAACAAAGAGACGGTGTCAGGAAATTGGTTGGCAGCATACCATTTCTTTTTCCCCCCTCTAGGGACATTTGCTTTTAATTATTACCTGAGATGACTTCACCGTCAGAATATGGTAAGAGGGAGAAAGGGAGGGAATGTGTTCAAATACAGAAGCAGTAGTACCTCGAGAGGCACTGAAGAAGCTTCTTGAAACAAAGGCCACGGTCACACGGACCTCTTACCGCGCTAGTTTTCCCGCAGTTCTTCTTGGAGGTGGTCAGACGGTCCCTCTGTCTTCTGCTTCACTCGCGCAAAGTACTGATCACACAGCGCGCCGTCCCTGCGGTGGCGCGGGTTTTTTTTTAAAAAACCTGCGCATGCGCTTGTCTTCCTGAAACAAGCACCATCGGCGGTACCAAACTGTCAATACACGTGATTGAAGACGTAAAGGAAAACGAGAAAGAAAACAGGGTTAAACATGCGCTTGGGTGTACATACAAACTAAAAAGACCAAAATAAAAGCTAGTGCCTGTTTGCACATGCACATAACTTAAACCAGAAACACAAAAAAGGGGGGGAGCACGGTCACTGCGGATTGCTGTCCAGATACCAAAACCGCGGATACAAAGCGTGAGATATCGGAAAAATTGGGTACTGGTTCGGCTGAGGCTGACTCCTCAGATGAGGAAGAGGCAGGGGGAAACTCAGCCTCGTCTGGAGTCAGCCCAGGAGAAGAACCCTCAACACTACCTGAGGAGGAAGAGTCCCCAGCAGTTGCGCAAGAGTTAAAGCAAGAAGGAGAGACAGATCCTGAGCCTGGCCCAGCACCCCCAGCTGGGGACACCCCGAGGCCAGACTCCCCGCCAAGTTCTCCTGAGTGCCTCAGACGTAGAGCACGCCAGAGGCTGAGTATGCAGGAACGAAGAAGGCATGCCAGACTGCAGCTCCTGCAAAGGCAACCA